TACAGGTCCATTTACCATTTACGTGCCTGTAACTGAGGGAGGAGTCCAACCTCCAACATCTTTTAGAAAATGAGTTTCGATGGATGGATTTCTAGTGAAAACAGACTCTTGTTCTGTTACCGTGACCTTTAACCCTGGATCTTCTAAGAGTCATTGAACAGAGCCTCCAGATGAGAGGAGCTATAAGATCTGTCTGACAGGAGCCGTGAACTGATCCTGTAGAGACAGGATGAGGAAAAAGTGCAACTTTAAAAGAGGTGTGATGGTAACGAGGAGACGCTGGATGACAGTAAAAGGCACAATATTAAGACTCAGTCTTATTGTTGCACTTTGGTAATAACATCTGAGTGCCTGCAGGAGACGTCTACACACTGTAGATAGCAACCAGTCCTCCACCTCTGTTTGATAAATAACCCTACAGGAGCCTTGGCGATCCAACTGTGAGTCCTTTCATCCCTCTGACTACAACGTCTGTGGCTCTGCACCAAGCTGCCTGCAGCGTGAGGAAGCAGCCAACATTCATGAATGTCCAACATGTCTTCAGTCTGCTTTAAGTCTGCTGGAGGTTCTCCGTGTCGTACGGAGTGAATGTGACGGTGGCAGGCAGCTGACTGATGACGTTGGCGGTGCACATCAGCTGTGTGAACACATGGTTGTCCATCACAACTCCAGCATAAAACAGACTCCTTTGTGGTGTTGAATGTGTAGAACTACTGCGAGAGCTGCTGCCTTGCCTGGATAAACTGAGTAACCGACGAAACAGAGACCTCCTGAGGAGGATGTAGATCCAGGGGTCGAGGATGGGGTTGACGGAGGCTATCCGGATGGCAGCCAGGTCGGCTGTGTCGTTATTATTATTATTCAGCATGAAGCGGTTGGCAAACACTCGGACCTTTAAAGAGAGAAACATGTTTAAAACTGCTGTAATGTCATCAAACTGGAATATGTCCCACTTTTCATTATTGTTGAGGTTTCCCATCATGAAAAAAGGTTATCATTCCTGAATATCTTGTGAAAAATGAGAACTATTAATAATTTATTATAAAATATAAACATTACTGGTTCCCAAACTTTACTGGCTTATGGTCCCTTAAGACTAATGTGACCTCTTGTCAAAGGTTTAATAGGTTAATGAATAGTGTGCAGCTGAAATATTTAGATTTTTCCTTCTCAAATAGTTTCAGTTTAATACTTTTCGGAGGGCTGAAACTGCAAACCATTAAGTATTTAACATGAAAAAATAATTGATTAAACAATGTTAATCATCAGATTCATCTTTGGGGGGGATCCCAACCCCGAGGCTGAGAATCAACAGACTACATAAAATGTATTTTATAAACTATGAATCCCTGTATCAACAATTCAGAGAGCACATTATATACAAATACAACTCTAAACTCATGTTGGACATAAATCTGCTGCAGTACTAACATTGATAACAGATGTCAGCAGCTGTTCAGTCCTATTAGAGTTATTATACTAATGATGACTGATAATACAGTATTTTGGCTACAGTGGAGTCTATATAAAAGTATTCCTGATTAATAGTTTGAATTTACTTACTGTAACTTTTACTTGAGTTTTAAGTCTAATTTATACAACATCTCTACTTTATTTCTTTAACTACTCTGAAGATCTTACTTATAAAACATGTTTTAATGTTACACAATATGATACATCAGAATACCAGGATACAAAGATCCGACTGCACCAACAACATTAAAATGCTGCTTACACAACAATGCATCAGCAATAATAATTCAATAATCATACATTAATGTATTTTGAATGCAAGAGTTTTACTTGTGGTGCAGTATTTGTACAGTGAACACTTCTTCCACCACTAAAGTTAATACACTTCAGTTCAACATTAAAGATATAAACATTATCTATGTTTTTGTACTTTATTTAGCTCCTAGAAGTGACTCCTAAAGTTTCCTCTCCTGTTTTTGCTGCTCCATACATTAGCAGGCAGTGAGGACTGTAATTAATAACCCATGCAAACCGATTACTACTGAACTACAACCCCCACACTAACTCACCACCAGCGGGGCTGAGCAGGCCAGAACCACCGCGGAGGTCATCACCAACACCGCGATCATCTGCGTCTCAGCGGCCGAGGACAGAGCCCTCCACCTCTCCCGGACGCTGGCTCTGGTGACGGGCCGCTGCACGGTCCTCTGCCGCATCAGCAGCAGCGCTCCGCACACCAACAGGTTGAGCACGATGGTGCCCAGGATGAGCAGCAGGCTGACGACGCCGTACAGGACGGAGTACGCTGTCTTCCAGTCGATGAAGCACCAAGTACAGGACGTCTGCAGCTCGCTCCTCGCCATGCCCATCATCGGGAGGCAGCAGAAGAAAATGTGGCTGATGTAAATGAATAACAGGAACCTCTGCGCGAAGCGTCGGTCCACCCCCCACCGCTGGTAGATGTACGGCCAGCATATAGCCAGGTACCGCTCTGCTGCCATGGCGCATATGATGGTCAGTCCCGTTAAACCGAAAAACAGCAACAAAAAGGAGTGAAACTCACAGACATTATGGTGTTGGAGCACTTTCGGGTCCATGTAGTTGGCTATGGTGATTGGGCTGGCCAGGCAGGTGCCCAGCAGGTCCGTCACCGCCAGACCGCAAACCAGCGTGTAGAAGGCGGAAGATTTTCTCTCCTGTCTTGATACAGAAAGGACGATTATCGCAATTAAATTCCCAAAGGCGCCTCCAGCGAACATAAGACTGGGTAAAGCGATTTTAGTCTCGACCCCGGTCGACTGTGAACGCTGGACCAGCGTCCCGTTGGTAACAGGTCCGTGCGTAAAGTTTGGGTTATCCATCGCCAAATATGCCCACAGGCTGGTGTTTGTTAGCGATATTTCCTTTGGTCTGTTGTAGATCTGAGGATGCATTTCCCTTTTAACAACTTGCAAAAGAAGATAAAGAGTAGACGGGGGAATTTTCTCTGGTAGTCTCATCCCCTCTGCTTTCCAGTAATCCAGATGTGGTTTTAATGACAAAGGTCGTTGCGCGCAGCTGAGAGGGAGGCGGGCTATCTCTAATACACTGAACCACCCAGCAGCGTGACAGGGATGTGTACGATGGGATGCTGTGAGACAGGGAAATATACGTTTTTGTTTGATTGCTCATGTCTCGTCTGCAGAAGTTGGCGTCATCGTAGCTCTGCCTAATATCGGTGGCAGGAGGTCAACATGAGATTTAAGATGGGGGCACATAAACACGATGATGTATAGAGACAGAAGAGACTTTTCTCAACCACACTGAGTCATAGTTGGATGCAGAGGAACTCTGAAGGTCTGAAGGGGGATTAGATAGTTTGATTTACTCTGATCACTCACATTATGGCAGAAAAAGAATGAAGTGAAATCTACATAAAATTAAGATGCTGTGTTTGAACCTTACCAACTCTTTTTAAAGGCTCAGTTCACCCAGAAACCATTCATATCCACGCAGAGAGTTTTGGTTGTATTTGCTCAAGATTTGAGATCAATAAAGAGTTTCATTACAGCAAAATTAGATTTAAAACACTTTAAAAGAGGTTGGTGGGGTTTTTTTGAGAAGTGTAAAGGGCGACGACATTAAATATAAATACCCCAAAATAGAAAACTAGATCAAAACTTTAAACTTTGGTCATAAATCTGCTGTAGTAAATATTAGAAACAGAGTTTTACTTGAGTCACCTTATCTTTCTGTTCACTTTTATTTGATTATTAGATTATCCTGAGGGATTGAAGGCAAACTCGTGAAGGAGAAATTCTTCCAAATATATTGAGAGTTGCTAGTTCTACAAACCCGGTGTGATGAATCAAGTCTTTTTACTTCATGCAGCATTGTTGTTCTCTTCCAGACTTACAATTGGTGACCTCCTGACTATTCACTGTTAATCAAATATATCAAAATATATACCTCTGAGTTGGCTGTCAGCAGATTTTTACCTGATTTCCTCATAAAAACACACTAAATAAATACATTGATTACATAAAAATGTCAATTTCCTACACTTGGTTTAAGGAAGCAAACGATCACAATCTGTTAATTAGATACTGATGATTCAGTGTTTAGGTCCACATACAAGTACACTGATAATCAGCTCTTTTTAAAGGCTAAGTTCACCCAAATTACAAATAAATGAATACATGAAAACACTGATCTAGACACACTTAAATAATAATCTAAACTAAATAATCTACTGCCGACTGTATATCTTTAAAAGTTTTTCCTACACTCCTTAAAATCCAGAAGGCCTTACGAACCCCCTGACCCCTGTGAAGTGGGAGGTCGGGATCCCCTAATTGGGAACCATTGTTTTAATCTGCTTCTAGTTTTGATTCTGAGACTTTTTTTCCTTCAATTTCAATGATGACGTTGCTCTTCAGCAGTCTGACAAACTATGTTTGGTGGAAAAGCTTCATGAATAAACCATCAGTGAATAAGTGAATAAGCTGCTGAATATTTAATTAAACACATAAATATATGGTTGGAAAGAAATCTGTCCCAGTGTGTTGTTGTGGTTTGTATTTTCCCCACTGACAAACTTCCGTGTCCACAGCTCAGCACACAGCTTTGTCCCAATGACTGTAAATGGCTGTGAGGAACAACAGACGGCTGATGGACAGCGTTGAATGTGAACACACAGTGCACTTAAGTCTGCTCCGACTCTCTAGCCATCACACATTCATTACAGCGTGACTTATGTTTACAGTGACGTGCAGCAGCGAGGGGTCTCTGTCTGCAGCCGACCTTAAAAGACAAAACACAACACCTCTCTGAGAGGTAAACCACCAACCCGCTCGTCTCTGCTGCAGACAAAAGGCAACTCTAAAGACAACAAACCACTTAAGTGATGCCAAGGCTTGGAAACTCCAAAGCTGACTGGAATGTGCTTCAGTTTACTGTGAATCACGGGGATGTACAAGCCGTCCCCTGTACAGTTTATAGTTTTTTTTTCAATGTCGTGAAGGTAATTTATTTATTGCAAATGCCCTTAAAATGTATTACCTCTGTCTGTGGTCTCTGTTGTAGGCTGGAGCTATAAAAGTGTACGCAGATTTTAGTGTATGATTAAGCTGCCCAACAGAAGTATAACCCTAAATGGTCAGTATAAAGGGTTTTCTTTGTGTCTATGAATCTTAATGTATGAATCAGCACTTAAACTCTCAGGCTATTGTAAAAGAGCAACTCTCAAAACAATGAATGTTAAAACACTGAATAATATTTCCTGTTAAAAGCAAATTTTTGTTGTTATTTCAGCCCTTGTTCCCACACACTGTATTTATATATATATATATCATACCTCCAACTATTTATAACTTGCACTTATACCTGCACTGTTTTTTTTTATGCTAAAACAATTCATACTGTATATATAAGATAAGATAAGATAAAATAAGATGTTCTTTTATTGATCCCCCGTAAGAGAAATTCAGCCACAGCAGCATAGGGGAATGTAATGCAAAGATTACAAGTGTACAAGAGTGTACAAGTTCAATAAGTATCACAATATAAGAATATTAACTAAATATAATAGAAGATATAAGACCATAAATGAAAAATATATACATTACATGCAATATGCAGTAAAATAATGTGCAAAAAATGTGAGCATTATTTCCTTTGAAAAACTAAACTAAACTGCACATGTGCAAACTTAAAGATTAAAGATAAATAGTTTAGCTGTGCCAGAGTTTGATTGAAGTTAAAACCAGTCTTAGTCAGCAGGGGTTGGATGTACTGGGTGTACTGGGTGCTGTGGTGTTGTGGAGTCTGATGGCTGATGGTACAAACAAGCCTCCAAACCACTTGAGGCTCTCAGTCTGTGGCTGAAAGTGCTCCTGATATCTAATTTTATTCATATATCTTACTGTTTATTCTATATATTTCCACTATATACATACATATATGCACTTCAGGTTAAATGCTAAATTGCATTTTGTTGTCTTAATACTTGTACATACAACGAAAATAAACCTGAATCTAATATAATGTAACTAAATATGCGTTTCATTAAGTGTGTGTCCTTTAATTTATAATCCTCACCAACTCCATATATGAGAGGACTGAACCAGCAAACGCTTCTTTATTTTAACGACCTAAATTGTTGTCCATTCACTTTTCATGTCACATTGACAGTTTTGTGTGTTACATCATTAGTTTTACTTCATCTGGTAATTTATCTTGTTTAATTTGTGTCATTTTATTTTTGTCCCAAAGATATATGATGTTTTAAAGTGGTGAACCCTGCTCAGGTATGTATAATGTTTATTTTAATTGTTCTGCCTGCGCTGTTGGTATAAATCCACTGTCCAATCAGTGTAAGTGAAAACAGCTCCATGTAGTTAGATCACTTCAGTGAGGCTCTGGGTGTCGTTAAGTGTGTGGGAGGACGGAGGAAACTGCTCTTCAGTACGTAAGATTTGGTAAAGTTGGTGCACTTGTGGGTGTGCCTCTAATAGGTTTTGATATCACCTAAAACTCTCTTAAAATAAATCCTTTGTTTATCATATCTTACAGGGAGTGGCAGCAGTAATTTCCAAATCTTCAGAAATGTTTCCAAATACCTGCCTTTTTTTTCTCTTTGGACTTAAGCCTATCAGTCAAATGAGTCTCAGATGTGGCCATAAGAGATCAAGAGCAGAGGGGTCAGTCGAAGGGGAAATGAGATGGCAGCAGATATCGTGTCTCTAACTTAAACATCCACCATGGATACAGAGACACAAATGAAAGACTGAAGGAGGAACGCATGCTTACTAATTAAATCACTGCATACAATCTCATAAAAAGATGTGCCAGCATCAGAAACCTTTAATTGCGTCAAAATTAATAAGACAAATACAGATGTAATACCAGTTCACACCTTTCTCTAATTCAGTATACCAATAACCCCATGGCTGTGGAAAATAAATAAAAAAAACATTATGGTTTGTAATAATGTTTCTGTAAGGGACCGAGCTGGCAGGCATGAGGAGTCAGAGGTACATTTTCCAAAAAAAGACATTTTATTCATCAAAAAATATGAAAATAACCAATTTACAAACATTCTGGACCCATAAAAGAGGTCAGCTAAATAGAACTTAACTCAGGCTACAAACTAAATTAAGATAATTAACCTCAAATAATGTCAAGATAACGCAGCCTAATATTATCTAAGAAAAAATACTGAAATGCTAATATCAAAAAGCATAATTATCAAAGAAATAACAAAACACAAAACACTTGCCTCTCTCTACGATGCATGTTAACATGGTACAACCTAATTATCAGCCCAACTCCTTTTAAGCAGATCTGATTCAGCCACTACTTCCTTTGACGGCCAAGAAACACCTCCAGCAGGGACAACCAGGAACTGGTAACTCAAATAAAATAACCTAAATTAATTAACCTAATAATGCTATCAAATCAAAATTGACAAAGTTAATTAATTGTGTGCACCCAAAAAGATAACCAGCTGTCAAAAATGGCACATAAAACTGTGTATTATGAAGCTAAATCTGTCCAGTTATTTTAATCTTGCACAATATTCTAAACTTTAAAGACAATGAAACACATGAAAGTGTTATCTACTCAACCTGAGCTCAAATTCCTCCCTAAACACAATAATATTTGTATTGCACAACAACAGTATGTATAGTTTGCCCTCACCAGACCGTTCAGACAACATTATACTCTCCTGGCCCTCTTGTCTATTTTTGTTGTGCGCTGATAAACCGAAAGACTGATAATATCACAAGGGAGAAGGGAATTGAAGGCCAACCGTAAGTGGCCATTTGAGACACATTTGAAACAGGATATAAAAACTGTGACAGTCGGTGAACCCAAAAATTACAACAAATAAATTCCATATGATGATTCTCTTCTGCTGAACGCAGATGTAAAAGTATTTGGTAGAAAGGAAAATAAACTCTGTCCTTCACTGGAAGTGGGTCAAGATGATCCCCTGCATATTAAAAGCATTAGTGAAATTAAAGTCCAGTGTTAG